AGGGGAGGGAAGGAAGGAAAGGAGAAGGGGAACAGGAAGGGGAAGGAAAAGGGAAAGGGGAAGGGAAGAGAAAGAGAAAGGTCGCCTGGCTGGTGTGGCTCAGTGGCTGAGTGTCAACCTATGAACCAGGAGGTCACAGTTTGATTCCCAGTCAGGGCACATGCCTGGGTTTCAAGCTCAACCCCCAGTAGGGGCCGTGTAGGAGATAGCTGATCAATGACTCTCTCTCTCCCCCTCTCTCTCTGAAATAAAAAAAAAAAGAATTTTTTTTAAAAGGAGAAAGGTCAAAGGAGTTCCAACTAGCAAATCTGAGACAATGTGAACACCAAAATAATTATTAAATTGTAAATAGGAATTCATGAGTCCATAAATACATAAATGGGAGACGCTCTCTCGTTCACAGGAGAATGCCGAGGGCAGAATGGAAGGAGTGCTGGAGTTAGCAAATCACTATTTTGCAACCATCACGGTAAAGACTGGCATAGGCAAGAATCATCAGTGGATGCTAAATCTAGGGGGCAATTTTGATGAACATATATTTGCATTGTCTCCCCACATTGCTCATTAGTTGCAAGGGAGAAAAAAATAGCAATAATTAGACAGTGAAGTATTTAGGGGTAAAGAAAGGGCCATGATGTACTTAACCTACTTTTAAGATGGTTCAGGGAAAAATGTGTATTTTTATACTGTGTTGCTTTTATTTTTGCAACTTTTTGTAAGTTTGAAATTATTTCCAGATAGTTTAAAGAGAAAAGCCATTATATGGGAAGTCTCTGAGAGTAGAGCTCTTGAAGAATGCAGTTTTCATCCAAAGAGGGGGGTGGGGCCTGACTAATAATCACAGCGATGAGGCACTGAGCTGGGTGAGTCCAGCTGTTAGGACGCAGAGCTGAACCCCTAGGTAGCTGAGGCGGGTACAGACCTGAGGGGCGTTAGAGATGTCCTATTGTAACTGAAGAGGTGGTGTCCACCACAAAGCCTGAGCCAGGAGGGCATCTGCAACTAGTGCACACTCCTGGCTTTGTACATTCCCAGCCTGGGCCAGTCTCTCAGGCATAGGCCACTGTCAGCCCTGGAGAATAAGCCTCCAGCACTGGAGCTCTCTAGGCACAGGGTCAGAGCCCCCTATAGCAGCCCTCAGTGATCCTGACCTGCTGGAGCTTGTTCCGGACTCCAGTCCTGAGGAGTCCCCTCCTGTGACCTTGCCTGCATCTGGTGACTTCTCCCTCCTCCCAGCATTCAGACCATGGCTTTCATCCAGGTTTTCTGGCTCAGTGTGTCTTGCCCTGGCCCTGACTCTTTGGTCTCCCTATGACTCAGGGCCCTGGCTCCCAGCCCTGGGACCCCACCCTGCCTATGTTCTGGTCCTCTCAGCTAAGGCCCCACAAGAGGGAAGAATGGGGATGTTTAACCCAGAACCTGCCGGGTTACCAAGACCTTCCATCCTCTGCTCTGTGAAAGAACAGCTTGGAGCTTCCAGTTCTGCAAACCCAGCTACTGACCCAGCCATACCTGCAGGGTACTGTCGATACATAGTGACACATGAAGCTGCAAATGGGATCAGTCTGAGTAGCTGGTACTCTACTTGGGGAATTGCCTCCTGACTGCAGAACACACCCAGCATGTCACAGCCCTGAAGTGCGCCTGCCCTACTCCCTCTAAGTCAGGGGATGTTTGGAAAGCGCAAGGGAGGAACATCAGAAACAGACTTGCTCAATAGTCCTGCTGCTTGGAATCCTGAGTTTCCAGCTAACACTTGGTTCCCAACCTGCAGCATGTGAGCTTGAGACAATCCTGGAGTACACTCCCGTTTCCACAGCTTGCTAGCTGTGAGTCCTTGTGCCAGTTTCACCCCTTAGGCTTGTTTCCTAATCTGTGACACAGAAATGATAACATGCTAAGCACCTACAGCAGCAGCTGGAACATTGGTTGGTGCTAAAAAATAGTAGCCGTTGATTTGAGAAAAAATCATCAATAAATGCTTAAACTAGTAAGTGAAAGTTTGATGAGGAAGAGGGTATTTTATAATCAATCAATTCCACTCTGAGATATATACTCAAAAGAAATGAAAGCAGGGACTCAGATATGTGTATACCAATGTTCATAGCAGCATGATTACAGTAGCCAAAACATGGAAGCAACCAAGTGTCCCATGAACAGATGAATGGATTAGCAAAATGTGGTATATACACACAGTGGAATATTATTCAGCCATAACAAGGAATGCAATTCTGATAATGCTACAACACGGATGATCTTGAAAACATGTTTGTCTGGCAGGCGTGGCTCAGTGGTTGAGCATCAACCTATGATCCAGGAGACTGAGGTTCGATTCCCTGTCAGGGCACATGCCCAGGTTGTGGGCTCAATTAATGACTCTCTCATCATTGATGTTTCCTTCTCTCTCTCTCCTTCTCCTTTCCTCTCTCTGAAATCAATAAAGATATATATATTTAAAAAACAAAACAAAACATAAGTTTTAGGTTATATATACTTTACTACAATTTTTAAAATGTGAGCAAGGAGTGCTAAGGTCTGAAACAATATAATTCCTTGTGAACTCTCCAAATTGACTGGTGGGGGCTCACTTCTACAACAGTGCCCCCCACTGAGAAGACACTGCTAGGAGTAAAATCAAAATTGAGCAGGACAGAAAACAGAGACAAAGACAAGAACGGAGACAAAGGGGGAAAAACGTCTAAATCAGGGGTCATAAAGGGCTAGACAGTAAATATGTTTTGGCTTGTAGACTACATAGTACATGTTGCAACTCTGCTGATTTCGCCTGAGAGAAGCTATAAACAATGTGTAAATGAATAGGCAATGCTGTGTCCCAATAAAACATTGTTTACAAAAACAGGCAGCCTTTAGTCTAATTCTTGGTTTAAATAAAAGTATGGGAAGGGAACAGTCACTAAGCCACCATATTTTTTAACATTATATGAAAACAACAAAAGAGGGAGCTCTGTAAAGTTAGAAAAACCATCCTTAACCATACAATTCCTTTTAAAAATTCCAGAATACTAATTTCATATAAAAATAAATACTAGAAAATTATCGAGGTCAAATTCCATATAAAATTATTAGGAAAAAAAGAACAGAATATTTCTATAAGATAACAATAGCACGCCAGAAATACACAGCCACAAACAGCTCAAATTATAATTCTTAAAATCAGCTAAAAATCATTCAAAACATGAAAGACACAGTCAATGAAATTAGAAAAACTCAGAAATGAGTAAAGAATTAGAAATAAAAGGGAAAAAACAAAGACTACATTAGAAGACACACGATAAAATGTCTTCAGGGAAATAGGAGGAAGAAAATTAATGGCACAGAAATCATAGAAGTAATTTAAATGAAAATGACAATGTAATTTACCATTTTAACCATTTTTAAGTGTAGAGGTCAGTGTACATTCACACTGTTGTGTAACCATCACCACCATCATCTCCAGAACCTTTTCATCTTCCCAAACTGAAATTCTGTACCCATGAAGCAGTACAGTAACTCCCCATTTCTCTCTCTGCCTAGTCCCTGGCACCCACCATTTTACCCTCTGCCTTTGTGATTTTGACTACTCTTGGTATTTCCTTTAAGTGGAATCACACGTGTCCTTTTGTATCTGCTCATTTCACTTAGCATAATTCAAGGTTCAATAATGTACCATCTGTTGGAACTTCATTCTTTTTAAGGCTCAATAATATTCTGTGTGTACACAAATATCTGTTTGAGTTTTTAATTTCAATTATTTGGGGGTATATACCCAGAAGTAGAATTGCTGGATCATATAATACTCTATGTAACCTTTTGAGGAACTATTGTTATTTTCCAGAGTGAATGCACCATTTTATGCTCCCACAAGCAATGCACAAGGATTCCGATTTCTCCACATTCTAAGCAACACTTGTTTACTTTCTGTTTTATTTTATAACAGCCATCCTAATGGGTGTGGATCTCATAGTTGTTTTGATTTGCATTTCCCTAATGACTAGTGATATTCAGCATGTTTTCACAAGCACATGGAACACTTGTATATCTTCTTTGAAAAAATGTTTATTCAAAGTCCTATGCTCATTTCTGAATTAGGTATAGTTTGCATTTTTTTCTTGTTGAGTTGTAGGCATTCTTAATATATAAAGAACTCCTAGAGTTTATTCCACCCTCATTTCCATTGTCTTGGTTCATAAACTAATCATTTCACTCCTGGGTTAGTCTCCCAGACTCCCCAGTTCCCCTCCTAGATGTGATGCTGGTTGAGTTTCTTGCGTAGTTATGACTTTTCTTTCTAAAATGTTTATTATTTATGTAACAGGAATAATACACAGAATATGGTTCTGGTGAAAGATAAGTACTCCAGAGTCTGTGTGGTTTAATCAGAAACTGAGGCTATGTTCAGATCCTAAATATAGAAACTAAAAATCTTCCTGAAATCTAACACAGAATTTAGATCTAAGTAGATTCAATTTTTAAAAATCATATTTTAAACTTTAAGTCAGATTTCACTTGATTTCTTCCTATCCATGGCAAGACAAACCCTTCAAAGATCTATAAAATAACACAAGTTGGCAGTCACCTGGAAACAATTTATTATTAAATGAATTAAGCTCTAATCCATCAAGCAAAAGAATCTAACACACTCAGGGTTGAGATGAAACAATACATAGGCACACAATGATTTGACTAATAAATCAACAGCCCCTGGTAAAATTCCCAATACTCAAGAAAGATTTAAAAATAAATGTCCTGTTCAACAGCTGCCTATAAGCAGGTGTCCCTTGATCCTTAGATAAGGTTAAGACTGACAAAATCACAACTGGGAGAGGAGAGGAGGTAGAAAAGGAAAGCCTGGAAATCACAAGGGAGTGGGAAGTAATCCAATTAACAGTCAGCACTGAAAATATACAATCTTACAACAAAATAAGTGCGAATTTGGAAAATTAATGTCTATGGGCATTTTATTCCCCAAATAGGGAGCAGAGTAAATGTGGGAAATTAGATATTTTTCAATATTCCTAGGACCAAAGGCAACCACAGATTGGGAGCTACTAAACTCTCAATGCTTAAATATTAACAAGCTCTTCACCTGGTAATTACCTTAATACTTAAATTTTTAAAAACTGAAACAACCCCGCAACAGCCAGTAAGTTCAAATTCTTATTAATCAACCTCTAGTTCTTACATATTCTGACTATAAAAAGAGGTACATAATTGTGCCCTTTTTAAAGATGCAAATAATTTGCCCATTGTGTAAATGAAGCTCACCTGGTCTCAACAGGAGGCACCTGCCCAGGGTAAGAAATTGAGGGCAGTCAGAAAGGCCACCAACACTGCATTTCTGTTGCCAGTCATTCAGTCTGCAGTGCCTCTTTACAACGGGAATAAGCTGTGCCCAAACACAAAGCCCAGGCCATAGAGGAAAAGGGCCTTTAGACCGGATGAAGAGTTAGCAGACCTGTTCTTGTCTTATCTCTGTTCTCGAGGAAAAGATTCCTCTAAGGTGAGCCAAGTTCAGTGGCTCATTTTAACCTAGAGCTGCTCTGGGAGTTTCTAGCTATCTAACTGGATTCTACTAACTCGGTTCTCATCCCAACAGCACTCTACGCCCCGGCTTGGAAAGTTCCTAGGGAAGGAGATGAAGCTAATTAGTAGGACACAGCCCTACTAATCAAAGGCAACCCAAGTATTTTACTAGCTGTGTATAAAAGACTTTCCCACAACTGTGGCAAAGGCCACAGCAGAAATATCTGTACCGCAGGCGGCTCCGCAGTCACTGTTCTCTTTGACTCTGCCCTCCTCTCTTTAGCTCTCTGCCCTGGCAACCTCAGCCTGTCTTCACCATGTTTCTTCTCCCGAAGGCAAAGTATTTCTTTTCAGCTGATTTTTGAGAAAGGCTTATTTTTGTGATTTACCCAACTAACCATGAAATCAGGTCTGGTGGGGTAGAGAGTAAAACTAAACAAACAATCCTCTATGTCTGAAAAACAGCTTCATGAGCTGCTTGGCCGAGCTGTGCTCGTCTATGCTGGGTCTTCTTCCTCCATTACCACGTCATAGTCGGTAGTTTTCTTCTGCTCAGCCTCTGGTCCTGCAGGCAGAATGCTTGTGACAGTGTGGAGAAGCGCTTCGATCTGCTCCTCTGTGAGCCGTTCTTCACTCTCTTCCACCATCTGCATAAGAAAGAAAACCCTCAGGGTTACAAATGAGCCTCATAGGCCTGGCCACCCCACGATGTTCTCAGTCCCAGCCCAGCCTCTTAGCACAGAGCTCAGGGCCTGGCTTCGAAGCCACCCCAGGTCTCTAGGTCCTCCCCACATTGGCTCCACAGGTGGGAGAAGCTAGCTCAAATTTCAGGGTAAGCCAGTGGGACTATTCAAAATAGGTCAGTGGAAAAAAAACAGGGTTGCAGGCTAGCATTTTTCTTTAAAGAAAAAGAAAACCCTAATAGTTCTATCCCTAAATATGTGTGTGAATATGTTGTATATGCAAAGAAAACTCACCTCTGGGGAGTGAAATGGTGCTTTATATACTTTTGTATTTCACAACAAGCTCATCTGTAACTTATAAACTGTAGCAACAACTCATCTGGTCATTGCCCACTGTGTGCCAAATGGTTTATATATTTTTTCTAATCCTCATTAAACCTACCACTAACAACAGCTCTTTTGGGAGCTTATGTGCCTGGTGCTGCACCTTACACTTTAGATCTATTATTTCTTTTAACCCTCACAACAGTCCTGACAAGGGGCAAAACTAGAATTCTAAGCCAGGCCTACCTAACTCAAACACATGCCACTTGGCCTTAGTCACTTCCTGAGAAAGCAGAACAGGAGTCTGATGAGTGATGGCTGGAAAACAATCCCATACTGCCTCAAAGGTCTACTTAAAGCCTGGTTTCCGACACAGTCCAGGAAATCCGAACACACAGATGATACCTACAATCATGAGCCAGTTTCCTAAGCCTCACCTCTAATTCTCAATATGCTAATGAGTACAGATATAATATACAGTCAGCGCCCTTTAAAAGTACGCAGGCAGCCAAGGTGTTTAACCACTTTCAGTTGGTGGACAGCTTCTTCAGGAAAGGTATCCAGGGTCCTATCCTATGGCATTTCCCACAGCACTCTCTGACATCTGGCAACTAAGACCAAAGGGAAATCTAGAAAGAAATCCAGCAGACTTAAGTAAAGAAAGATGACAAGCTAGGCTTACAATCCTGAAATCAGTCTACTGCCTCACTTTACAAATAACATTACAGAAACAAAAGACGTCAGGTGACACATCCAAGGTCATACTGCAAACTCCTGACAAAATATTGGTCTCTTCATTTATCTTAGTCCAAAAATGCTCCACACTAAAGAATAACCCTGGGTGTTCTAGGGTGAACCAATGAAGCTACTTCCCATCACACTGTGAAATAAAATGTGTTTTCTAAAGATTCAAAGGTTCAATAAAATGTAGCTTCTCTACTGAACAAGAAACAATCCCCGAAAGCCCATTTTTAAAACCAGATATACAAAACTAGGGTCTGTGAAAGGCAGTAATCTAACCTAGACTGTCTCCAAAGAATGAAGGAAGAGGAAGGAGGGATACATCCACTCTGACCTAATCCTGAGAAAAGATGATCTCCATGTGAGAGAAGCATGTCTCCAAGTGTATGAGTTAACTGGCATATGCAGTTGATGTTGAACTGTTTCCTGCCTCAGGAAAGAGAGTGAAGGAGATCTGAACCATTGTTAGAACAGTGACAACCTCCCACCAGTATCTGTACTAGCTCCAGTTTCTGTGGGGCTTTCCCAGAATCACTGCCACCAGAGCTTTCTCAAGAACGCTGCACATAAAGTCAGGACAATTTACAGGTGAGTAGGGGCTCAGCATTATAAGGAAACTTGATCTGGGTCTCACACCAAGTAGGGGCAAAGTCTTTTGACTTTGCATCCCAGTTTTTTCTAGAGGACCATGTCCTCCACTAGGAGATTTCTATTATTTCTTCCCTCAGAGATGCTGCACAGCAGACTCGAGTCCACCAGTTTAAGAGTTACGTTATATGCCCTCTAAGAGGCCTTACTTTTCAGAAAACCAAACAGAGAACTTCAACAGGCCACCTTCTTGCATCCCAATCTCTGGGTTTGGCAGATGCAACACTAAGATTAGGTGTCAGGGAAGTGTGCTCTTGGAAAAAGTGTCAATGAGCTATTTTGCCAAATTGGCCAAGAGCAGCTTTGGTTAGCACACAACCCTCAGGGATAATTATAGTCAGGAGCTTTTCTTTTCAATCCAAGATTCCAGGTCACAGAAAGTAAACCTAAGCCGCATTAAGTTTAATGAAATACACACAGAAAGAAACTTACTAGCCCATCTTAGATCACTAGGGTAAATGACAGTAACTATGTTTATTCTTCACCTTGTCTTCCCATCACATAAGAAAGAGCCCAAATAAAGATGAGCAAAATACATCTCAACATTCTGATACCAGAGGTTTCAAGTTGTTCAGAATATAAAAGCAAATGAAATTTTAAAACCAAAGTATTTGCAGATGGGTCAACATAAATGAAAAATGTTTTAAATCATATACAAAGATTGTATCAATACCCAGGGGCTGTCAATTTGAGCTGCTGAACTATTAAAATGGTTGTTTCTCATTTTAAGCTGCCAGGCTTAACCTCCTACTTTCCTCAAACATCTCAAAATCTAATAGTCACTGACACTTTTAGCTATTTGACCCAGAACAGTTCACTTAACGTCTGTAAATATATATATTTTTAGACTAATCATCTTTAACCTTTGTAAATTTCAATTTTCTCTAATATAAAATGAAAGTAATGCGTACAGTAAGGACCAAATGAGAACATACATTATAGTGTTTTATAAGCCATAAAACTATGTAATTCAAGACATTTTATAATCACTACATTATAACAGGCATAGATGGCAGTGCTGTTCAAGACAGTGGCCTGTGAGGTCATGGGTTCACTGTCCTATCTTCAGACCAGAGGACTCAAAGGGGGATGGCTTCCTCTTCTTCACAGACAGCAGGCAGTAGTCGCCTGTGGGTGTGAGGACTGCAACAAATCACGGCTGAGGTGTAAGTGAAAAAGAGAAGCTTCAGCCTCAAAAACTTAATACTACAAAATGTTAGGTGCTGGGATTATTTCTGGACCCAGAGAGCATAAACAGCTGTAAGGTTAACATGGGGAAATTCTCAAGTCCCTTGTAGTTTTCACTCCACATGCAAACCTAATTTCTTATTCCACTCTGTTGAGAAGAGATACTGCTGCAAGCCTTGGTAAATGATGTGCTATCTTTTACAGCCAAATCCCAGGATGGGAAAAATCTGGCTATAAAATGGTCCAACTACTGGGAAACCACACAAGCAATTTTGACCAAGGAAAGGAGAAGAAAATGAACAGTCTGAAGAGATGCAAAAGCACATGACTTGGAGGAACATAGTAAGACTTCTGAATCAGACAGACCCAAATCAGCCACTCACTAGCCAAGACTATCATGAGGGCATTACTGACATATACAAAGCCCCTGGCACCATGTCTGACATATAGCAGGCACTCCTAATAGCAGCTAATCTTACCAAGTACTGATAGAGCTTTCTACAGGCTCTAGGATGAGGTCACACTAATCCTCCTCATCTCTTCTCCATCTGTCATTAAACCATGAATAACATATGTTGCTGATTAAAGTTGGAGGAGACATGGCATGTGATCTTTAACCCAGAGGGAAAGGGATTAGTTTCCTGCTGTTCTGTTTTTTTTCTCTTTCCTAAGTTGAATCTCCAACACACACAGTCAAATGCATATGAATGAGGGTTTAAAAAGGAATCTTTATGTATCCTAAAGGCCAGTTACCAAGAAAGGCACCCTTTGTGGAAGGAATTTTTCTAACTTAATTTTGAATACATTTTGAAGGGCAGAAACACCACCACAAAGAAATAAGTTTCTGTCAAAAATTAAATACTCCATGACCCTTTAATGAAAGGTGTTTGTTTTTAAAACAACTCTAAAGATCATAGGTATTATTGGCCATTTTTTCCACACTTTTCTGACAAAGTGTCGAAATTTGACAAAGACCTAAATACTTCTAACACTGACTTTGGAAACAGTTTGTGTGTTTTTTAATGTCAGGATATTGCTTAAAGAACTTTTCTGAGTAAAACGTATTACAATGGAGAAAGGACACAGGGCCTGCCCTCCCAAGACTGCATCCGTGTATGTGGCTAAACTCTGTGTTGTGATACAATGAGTTAAAATAAACTACAAAGCAAAACTGTAGTCATTGCATATGTGAGATAAAGGAAGGGCCAAAGGAAGAGGCCATGGTTAATTCAAGGGCAGGGTAATAGGGGGAAGTGAACACACCTTGGCAACAAATGAACACACAGAAAAGCAGCCTGCTTGCCAGTTAGCTCGAAGCAGAGGTCAGTGAAATGCAAGCGGCCTAGGTCCTGCTTGGGTGTAGAATTTCTGGGGCCCCGAGCCCATGTCTGGCACCAGGTCCACCTCGGGCCACCTCCCAGCTCCCCAGGGGGCCTGTCTGGGGTGGGGCAGCTGGCACTGAGCTGCTCCTGGAACAGGTCTCCCTCGAGTCCATATGGCCATCTGCTAGCTCCCACCAGGCAGCTGTAACTGCTTCCCAGGGGTGGTATGAAGTGCAGGTTCACCAAGTGAACAAGAGCAAGTTAGGGATCCATGAGTGACAGCCACGGTGACCGGCGGGGACTACCAGGGCCGACGTGTGCCTTGAGCCATTGGTCAGAACCAGGGATCTCTCAGGCTGAGTTAAGGTAAAGTAGGCCCTCTGTTCTGAAACCTGCCCCAACACAGGTTAATTGGTGCTCCATGGCAGGCTAAAGGGAAACTAAAGTAAAAAGTCACTGTTCACGTTCAGTCAGCAATGAAGGATGAATTGCAAATCTGCTGAAAGAGAATTTTAGAAAAGACTCACCCCTCTACTGATGTACCCTCCCTATGACAGGACTCGAGAGGCCCAGTGAATAAGACACGGGGCCCTGACCCGGGTTCTGGCTGTGGGGTGATCAGTGAGACCATGCATAGGTTGCATCGGGTGTCCACAGGGCTGTCTGCTGCTGCGTCTCCAGCTCAGCCCCATGAGGGTGCCCTGGGCTGCTGGCTGCACAGGGGTATTTTCATAGGACCAAGGCCTTGTATACAGGAACAAGTGAGATCACTGAGCAGATAACGCCCAGCAGGAAGCTATGCTCAGGGCTGGCCACTGTGGAAGACCTGGCAGGGCTTGGAGGGCCACAGGTTTCGCCAAGCCCCTCTTCCTCCTCCTTGTCCAATGTTGGAAGGCCAAGCACTTCTGAAGGCTCATCAGGGGACAGGTTGGGGAGAGTGGGCTTAAAGGTGGCAGCATCACTGTTGTCTCCGAAAACAGAATCTTCAGCAGATCTTCCTCCAGCTTGATGGGGGTGCTGGGGGCAGCAGGGTGCTCTGGAGGACTGCCATCTTTCTGCTCTCTGCTCTCATCCAGACTCTCTGCAGGGCCCTTGTGCTTGTACTCCACCTCCCTGCAGTATTCCTCCAGCTCCCGGCAGGGAGCGTGTTGAAGGGGTTGGGGTCCGTGGCGCTCACAATGACGTGGGGCTGGTACTCTTTCTCAATAATGGCTTTGGAGGCTGTCACCAGCTCCCCCTGGATGAGGCTCCTGTCCATCACTACACTACACAAAACCTGGGACTGGGGGCCAGCCGTCTTAATGTCCTTTAAGTTCTGCTCTTGGATCCTGTTCATCTCCTGGACCTCTTTCGGGTTTGTGTTCAACCGAACAAACAGGTTAGGGACAACAGAGGTGAAGGCTCTATGTCCATCCTCTTTAGTCCACTTAGTCTTTGACTCGGGGCTGCTTCTATTTTGCCCTTCCTGAGGCATCATCACCCTGGCCAGAGTTCAGCCATCTTGTCTTGTCTAGTTGCTGCTTCTGAAAACTGTGAGAGGAGAGCAAGTGCCTGAATCACAGACACTAGCAAAGGAGTAACCTGTGACACTAGCAGGAACCTCCACATTGCTATATTTTTAAGACTTCTCTCTCAGAGCCGGGTATTGGTAAGGGTAGCCAGTCCTGAAACGCAGGTTACCGAGCATCCGCATGAGGGCTTCAAACTCCTGCTCACAGGTGGATCAGCCACTTGGGAGGCGACGAAGTGCCCTCCCCTGCTGGAGGCCCCGGGGAACAAGATTTGGCTTTGTACTTCCCAGGATCCAGGAGGACTAAGTTGTCTGGCCCTCCTGCACTGGCCAGAGTTTGAACCTGGATCTCACAGGCAACCACGGGGTTGTGGACGTAATAGAAGGCCTCTTCAACGCTCTCTCCGACGGACACAAGCCCATGATTCTGGAGAATGAGAACCTTGCTTTTAGGCCCCCAATTTTTCTGAATTGAAACCTTTTCCTCTTCATCAACCAAAACCCCATGTAATCACAGTAAGCCACTTCTCCAAGGGAACGTGCCTCCAGGGAGATGGGCAAGAGGCCACATTTCATCACAGAGACCATGGCCCCTGCTGGCATGTGACTATGGACCACACACTTCAAATCCGGCTGTGCAGCATAATCTCAGAGCATAGCATGAAGCCAGCTTGATTTACTCCTAGATTAGTGCTTCCACAGTCCACAACATCTCCTTGCAGATTGATTTTCACCAGAAGTCACTTCACTATAGAGAAGCCTGAAAGGTACAATAAGGAAGTGTTCCGGCTTGGAGCTCACTCTGGTTGTGGTATAATTGTAGATAAGCTCAGACCACCCAAAGAGATCTGCCGGTCTGTAAAATGCTGCCAATTTACACCGCAATAACTTTCCCCCTTTGTCACAGGCAATCGCATCAGATCCTCTAAGGTCGTTCACAGGCGTTGCCATACCAACGAAGACTCATGTTCAAGGCAGCCATCCCTTCTTGTGGGGCTGACCGGTAGACATTCGGAACATTCGTGGTCATAAACTCTGCAATCTGCTGCAACATCAGCAGGCCAGTGGGATTCTTCCCCTTCTTAAATTGTTCCTGTATCATTGATTCCAACTCTTCATAGAAGGTGGGACTCCGCAGAATCATGGACGCCCTCTTTTTCTGCTCCATCATGTTGAAGTCCTGGCGAAGGTCAGGTGCCATGTTCCTCTCTTGCAGGTATTCCAAACTGTTTTCATCCACCCTAAGTACCTCTCTTTGTGAGGGGCTGTGGTCAGGGGTGGTGAGGTCACCACTGAGGCCTGATTATCACCACTCATGGCACAATCTTTCTAGGTTCCTCAGGGGAGGCACACGGGATCCCAAGTCCAAGTGTGGCTGCCATCTGTCCTGCTCAGAGCCAGACTCGGGCCTGGGCTCTGCCTCCTGCCCACAGCCCGCACCTGGCCCACAGCTCCCTCCTGCCACAGGGCCTCTCCACCCCCTCAGACTCTGGCGCTGCCCTGGCCACTCTGGAAACAGTTTTATTCCCAGTTTATTAATTCTCCAGCCGAAGTTTACTGGCAATTAAATGGCCTGCCTAATGTTTTAGCTTAACGATGCTCTTTGCTTTGTACAACTGAAGGAAATGGCCAGTGTGCCAATACAGCAATCACTCAGCTGTATCACTGGACCTCATTTTCACATGCTCCTTATGCCATTGCAGCTTCCTACTCCAGCTGCCTCCCACAATTCTGAAGGTTTATGCTGTGACTGCAATTTAGTCTTTCTAAGTGATGAGGCTCCTGTGAATGGTTTTATACAGGAAAATAAGATAATTAAACTTGTGGTTTTAGAAAGTAAACTATATAGTAATGTAGAAGATAGACTGGAGGGGGGGGACTGGAGGCAGAGAGAATGGTGAGAGGACAACTGCAAGAGCAGAGCTGAGAAATGACAAAAAGTAATGCAGTGCAGTAGGGGAAGGAAGAGTCAGAGGAGACAGAAGCAAGAGAGCCTGGGGACTAACTGAATGTGAGATCAAAGGAAGAGAATGAATTCCAGGTTTCTCGCTTAGGAAATTGGGCCAGGAGGGGTGAGAGTGAGAGAGCATGTGGGAAAGTACACATATGCTCCATTAACCAAGAAAAGAAATTCAGGAAGAGCAAGTCAAAGGGTAGGAGTAGGGGGAGATGAATTCCAGCAGAGGTATGTCAAGTGTGATGCTTGTATGCAACATCTGGGTTGGGAATAACCCTACAGGGAAGCAATGGCCAGAATCCCGTAGGACATCAGGTGTGACAAAGACACACCAACTCATAGGCCTAAATCCTGTAGACGGAAGTAAATTTCCTCCAATCTTCTACTTTACCTTAGTCCATACTAACTAGGATCAAATTAGTGAGGTTTCCTTTCACTTATAACATGGAGTGGTATGACAGTCTTTCCAAGATATGTCAGTTCCTAGCTTGTCTGTTGTCAACCTTTATATCACCCTTTCTACATCTCATACCTAGAAAACAAACCCCCACCCCCACCCCAGTTCAGGCCTCCTTCACTCACCAGCTGGATCTCAACGGCAGTCATAGGCCTATGATTCAGCAGCTGAAGTTTTTCAGCTCTGTCAAAAAAAAAGTACAAAGCACTTAAAACTCTCATATCCCTAAGGATCTTGATTCTTTACCAAGCTGCTGAGAGAACAGTTTGCAAGATAATAAATGGGAGAACCACTTGGAACATGGCCCTCAGCTTCTTCAACTGTAAAATGAAATTCAAGAGTACAAATGTGTATTAGAATCCTACAAGGTATAGAGGCCTGGATTGTAAGAAATATAGCAAATAGAAAAGATGTAGGTTTAATAACGTTTATTTGGAAAATGTAAAAAAAAATTAATGTTTTCTTAATTCAAATTGTAGAAAGTAAAGATTAACAAAATCATCTTGGTTGGTCATTACTTGAGAACTCCTTTTTGAGATTAAGATTAAATGTTAACTCAGGTTTGACCTATTATCTTAGTAAACAAAAGCAACTCTAAGGGAGCAGGAGTTAATACACAGTAGTACAAGGTAGTTTTCTGTCCTCAAAAAGCTTACAGTTCAGTTGGGGAAAGAAGACAAACACAAGCAAATTTTATAAAAGATTTAAGTAACAGTTGAAGATAATAACTGCTGTCAGAAGGCAATATATAGCTCACTGCTGAACTCCCAAAGACAAAAGGACTTAAAAGAGAACAGCTTCAATTACCACCCCTGTGCAGGTAACAATTCATAAATTTCCCAATCTGGAGCTCCAGATTCATCTTTAAATTCAATTCTATAAATACTAACACAGTTTAAAGATATTATACAATAAAAAGATAAGTAAGCCACAATTCCCACAGTCATGTGTTTGGGGAAGCAGTACAAGTTACCCAGACTCCCTAAGCCTCGATTTCATCATTTGTAAAACATGCATGATGATATATTTACTATCGCACAAGGGGTGAGGAGGGATGAAAACTTTACCATTTATAGTGGCAGCAACTACCATTTATTGTTTACTTTCCATTAGACAAGCACATATAACTGTCGGACTTAACTGATGCTGAGATGGTAAATAACCTGTCCAAGGTTACGCAACTAGTAAATGGCAGAGCTGGGACTGTACCATCAAAGCTCATGTTCTTAACCATCTGCTTCTAGTGTTCATAGTGCTCATAATAGTGACTGTCAAACAGTAATTTCTCCATAAATGGTAGGCATTACTAAAGAAGCTGTAGTCAAGTTCTACTCCTCATAATCCCCCAAACATTTCCTCTACACTTTAAGAGGAAGACTTCACAGAGAAGACCCTTGCACTGGGCTCTGCAGGATTTTATAGGCAGAAAGTATAAACAGAATGGACAGTCAAGGCAGGAACAGCACAAGTAAATGCCCAGAAGTACAAAAATTCATGGAGCTTTAGGAAATGGCTCCTAGAGAGAATGTGGGACATAAGGATGAAAGAGTCATCTGGAATAAGACTGCAAAGGGCTGTGACTACCAAGAGGCTGAATGTTACTTTGTACTCTCTGGAAAGCAACCAAGGAAAGGACTAACATGCTCAGGCAGATCCTCAAAGCAATTCTGGAAGACCTGAGAAAACGGAGGCAAAGACACCGTAATACTCCCAGCTGAGAGAACACAAAGTCATGAACCTAGACAGCAACAGCAGTAGCAGCAGCAGCAGGGATGGCAATGAGAGTCTGGACATGTGAAATGCTCTTGATCACCCTCAGGTATAATTAGTCAAGAGACCTAACAACTGCCTAGGTTTGGTGGGGATGGGGTAAAGGAAAGGAAAGAGTCAAAGTTTACTGTTAGGTTTTTAGCCTGTTTGGAAAAAATATATTACTTGAAATTTGAGTTTGTGGTACTTTTATTAATCGACTTATTAAAGCTGATGGTGTATGGGTCCTGAGCCAGGGACTTAATAGTCATCTGCTTGTTGAAACGTCATGGTGGCCCATGAGGAAATGAGTCACAGAGAGCTGATTGACTGATTTAGAGAGAAAGAGAAAGAGCAAGAGAGAAGAGAGAGAGAAACACTGATTTGCTGTTCCACTTATTTATGCATTCATTGGTTGATTCTTGTATGTGCCCTGACTGGGGATCAAACCCACAACCTTGGTGTATCAGGATGACACTAACCAACCAAGCTACCTAAGTTTGTGGCACTTTGAGAACACAATAAGAAGGATTCTATCAAGCAAAGTGTCTAGTTTTAGTTCTAGTGTGGTCTAAAACAAAAGATCAGAGCTGAATTTATTAGCAAGGAGTTATGTGAGAGCATGACAGTGGATAGCATAGCCCAGAGACCAACTGCAGAGTAAATAAAGACCCAGGACACCATAAAGCACCTCCATTTGAAGGGGCCAGGAGAGAATGCGGCAAAGGAGAATGAGAAGGAGGAAAAAACATAGTACATACAGAGTTCGGTACCCCAGTCATCCACTGGGGTCTTGGAATGTATGCTCCAAGGATAAAACAGGACTACTGTAAACAAAACTGCAAACACTACACAGGAAAGCATCGGGCTACTTCCTGATTCCAGGACTCAGCACCTCATGATCCTTCTACTTAGACAGCATTAACTCACCTGTATCTGGCAACTCTTCCTTTACATTAAACACAGTGCAACCTCCTACAGACAAAATGTTATATTCAAATTCTGACACTTTACACATGATCTTACTCATATGTGCAACCTAATGAACAAAACAGATCCAGAGACATAGAAGCACAGAAGCAGGGAAGGCGGGGGTGGGTGGGAGGAGATTAATATAAGAATTTATACGCCTAACCTATGGACAAAGACAATAGTGCAGTAAAGGCCTAGCAGGAGGGGTACAGGGTGGAGGGGATCAATGGGGGAAAAAGAGGGACAATTGTAATATTTTCAACAATAAAGATAAAATCAAAATGAAAAAATATTTTTTTAGAAAAAAAAGAAAAAAAAATTCTGACACTTCAGTATGTATGTCCCTACTACCATAGCAGTTACACTGCATTCATATCTTTGTATTCCCAACAACTGAGACAAAGCAGGCATGAGATAAATGTTAAGGATAAATTAAAGAAAAGGCTAGGGTAGCACTGACTTCCAGAAGTAGTTCAAGGGAGAGACAACTGCTGAACACTGGGGAGACATGAGGCAGGATTCCATGGCTGAATGCAGACAGGGTAACCACACTTCAGATACTTGGGAAACCTGACCACCTTTCCACTCCGAGCTTTGCTGGCCCCAGAGGTACATGTCCCAAATATGATGTCAAATCCCAAGAGTAATCTGTGCACAAAAGAGTCCCTTTTAGGGACCCAAAATTATTTACAGACTGGCCTACGCTGGGTCCTGAAAGCAAGTCCTTCCTCTATTCCTGGTAGTCACAGCTGTACATCTTTGGGAGGAGACCTGGGGCTGCAAGCCAGGCTACAGTTCTTAAGAATTAAATGCCTTAAGCAAAAAATTAAAATGATTAAAGAACCAAATGCTTTGGGGAATTAACATGCTAAAGAAAAAATGACATGGCATTTAGTGTCAACGTGAATTCAAGTTGAGTCAGTACTACCATTTTGCTGAATAAAGTTGTAAAGTCAGATAAAACATGGTTCCTACAATACTTTCTAGAACTCTAGTAATGGAGGTATTTAACCAAATTAATGAAACTCCAGTTTGCACTACTCAAACTGGACCAGTTAAGGGCTGGGATCTTTAATTTCTTTTCCCTGATAGAATAGTAGAGAAAAACTACTGAGATATTCAGATACTATATAAGGATTAAAGAGCACTTCAGTAGTTTCTATTATATATGCGATTCCTGCCTTGAACTGCACTAGCTAGCAAAAGATGGTCCAAGTCTTGACGGTATATGGTAAGCAGCCTCCTGGATCACCAGGAACTGAGGCCAAATGAATTCCAAAGGGCTGCAACGGTTGACCACCTCCTAGAGGAGCCAAGCCCCAGCCACAGTGAAAGAAGCCTGTCTGCTCCCTCTAGTGGTTAATTTTAGAAAAACACTGTCTGTAGCTTTTGCTTCCGACAGTCATGAATAGCCTATGTATATGTTAATCTGCTCCAGAAATCAACCATTTAATTAAAAGTAGACATGAAATTGTTAAAAGATTTTGCTTACTTTGGTTGAATCGCCAATTCAAATGGAGATTACAGCCAAGAAATCAGGAGAAGGCTGAAACTAAGGAGGACAGCAATGGAAGAATTAGGAAAGGCTTTGGGTCAAGAAGGCAGAGTAAATGCTGTACTTGCCTCCTCCCATGACCACCTCATAATTACAATTAAACTACAGAACAACCATCATTGAAAATGGCCTGAAGTCTAGCTAACAGGAAGTCCTATAATTAAGAATATAAAGCAGCAGCCATGTAAAGGCTGGTAGGAGGTGCAGAGACATGGAACAAACTGGTCCCACACCCACCTGTGGCAGTTAAAAATTGGGAGAGGTATCTCAGCTGTGGAGGTCCCCCAAAGAGTGAGGAGTCCCAGACCCACACCATGCCCCCTAGCCCAGGGTTCCAGTGCCTGGAAGAGAAGTCCCCATAACTTCTGGCTGTGAAAACAAGCTGGGGTTATGGCTAAGTGAGATAAAGGGCTGCTGGAGTCCCAGGCATTCCTCTTAAAGGGCCCACAGGGACATACTGGCTCTGAGCTGCAGTGCTGGGGAAACCAGCTCGAAAGGCACCAGGAACATACTGGGAGGAACTGAATCGTCTGGTTTTGGGGCAAGGGCTGGCATAAAGTTTTAGAATCATTCAGCAAAGGATTTGTAAAGGCCACTTAAATTCTGTATATGGCTGTGAGATGAAGTCAATCCAAGAGTTATTATAAAATGGCTTTGTCCAACATGCCAGCAACTGACCATATATGGCTATTAATACTTAAATTTAATTAAAATTAAATAAAACTAAAAATGCAGTTCCTTTGTAACATTTAAATGATCAACACTACATGTGGCTAGAAGCTACTGTGTAGGACAGAGCAGAGAAACACTGCCATTGCCACAGAAAGTTCTACTGGACAGAACTGCTCCATTGAGTCTACAGAAGAACGGCAGATTGAAAGAGAATACTGTCACATGAGAAGATGCAGACCAGCTGAAACTGCATGCAACCTCTGTAGTCTGAGATCTGTATCTTTGTGACAGTCAAAACAGATCTAGAGGAAAGGTGATGATTTTCTTCCTCTGCTCCCTTCCCCAAGTCCTGATCCTCTACTTGTGTTTCTATTATCCAAAGCTTTTTGTATCAATGTGATCACACATGCTCCAATTAAGGACTGAGAGTAATAGGCATATAGGTTTGGGAAATGTTAATAAGAAGTTTCCTTGTTTACAAACAAAAAGAGAGAACAGAGCCCTGGGGACCTATAGAACAATTATCAAAGTTCTAACAGTTGTGCTTTTGGAGCTTGGAAAGAAAGGAGAATGAGATTGGAGCAGAACTAATATTTCAAAAAATAATGGCCCCAAACTTCACAGATTTGGTAAGAAATAAAAATTTACATACTTAAGAAGTTCAGCAAAAATAAAATTTTAAAAAATCAAAATTTCAGAGACCAAAGACAAGAAAAAATATTGAAAGCAGCCAGAGGAAAACAACACATTACATATTTGCCTGACCACAGATTACTCATCAGAAAGCATGGCAGTCAGGAGCCACTGAAATAACATCTTTAAAGGGCTGAAAGAAAAGATCCTTCAGTAATTAAAGAAAATAACATTCTCTGTTGAAAGAACACTAAGAAAATTTGCAGCCAGCTGACCTGTTCTAAAAGAAGTGCTAAAGGAAGTTCTTCAGGCTGAAGTAAACAGTAAAAAGTAAACACGGAACTTCAGGAATAAATGAAGAGCAAAAGAAATGGTAAAATTCTAGGGAAACATAAAAGACTATTTTTGTACTCTTAAGTTCTCTAAAATATATAAAATTAGCCCGGCCAGGCATGGCTCAGCGGTTGAGCGTCAACCTAGAATCCAGGCGATCGGGGTTCGATTCCCGATCAGGGCACATGCCCGGGTTTCGGGCTTGATCCCCAGTCAGGGGCGTGCAGGAGGCAGCCAATCAATGACTCTCTCATCATTGATGTTTCTATCTCTCTCTCTCCCTCTCCTTTCCTCCCTCTGAAATCAATAAAGATATATTTTAAAATAAATAAAATAAAATATTTAAAATTATAGAACATAAATGTTAAAACACTGCTAAATACTATTTCAATGTATGAGCTACCCAACCATGGCTAAGATGATAAATTTAATGTTCTGTGTATTTTACAATTAAAAAATAAGACAGCCCCACCAGGCATGGCTCAGTGGTTGAGCACTGACCTAGGATCCAGGAGATCACGGTTCGATTCCCGGTCAGGGCACATACAAGAATCAACCAATGAATGCCTAAATAAGTGGAACAACAAATCAATGTTTCTCTTTCTCTCTCTCTCTCTAAAATCAATTTTTTAAAAACGAACACACTGAGTGTTAATTAGAATTAACAACTAAATATAAATACAAAGTTGCTGAGGGTGGCTTTTGTAAGTTATTTGTGTGTCACTCTTCCTACTTAAGATAATTTTTACTTACTTGGTCAACTTGTGGCTTTTCATTGCTGTGAGAAATTCCCTGACAATCTCAGGACTCTGGTGACTGCATGGTGTTTTTGATATGTATTTTAATGTCTACAAAAAAAAAAGGAAAAAGCAAATCTGAATGAGAAAAAGGGAAGGCAGTGACTGTAATTTAGTATGCTATAATTTTGTCTCCAAGATCTTTATAAAACAAATGCCTTCAGGAGAGTCAATCTTCAATAATAAGAATTCCTCAAAAAGAAAACCAGGAGCTAGTATAGGAAGAATAACTACTGAAATTTTAGAAGAAAACTTTTCTGATCTTAAAAAGAAAAAATTCAATCTGAATTGCATTATCATGTTTCAGATAATTTCTTTAAATACAGGAAACCCAAAGAATAAAACAAATAGCCATGAATCCATATGGACACAAATGACTGAATAAATAGATGAGAATTAACAACCATTTCTTACAGAATTCTAACTAGTAAGCATAAAAGAAATGAGGGAAATAAATCACCATTAGGCAGCTCTACCACAGTAATAATTACTGCAGGAAAGACCGACCAATAAATGCTAACATTAGTGGGCAGAAGATTAAGGAAAAATGGGATATATGCATAGCTTCAAAGCATCTTCCCCAAAATATTTATTAATTACTGTGATGGTTTTAACATATGTCCTCAAATTCATTGGTATCCCTCCCTTCAAGAAGTGAAGCGTACTCCTCTTCCTCTTGAATGAGCTGGACTTGGCAACTCCTTTCTAATAGAATATGGAAATGGAAAAACAGTAACTTTCCAGTGGAGAAACCAGGCAGAAAGCACCTTAACCAAATGATCAAAGTTAACAGGATCAGTAATAAGACACTGATATCATGTGCTCTGTATCACCTATATGGTATTCTTTCCCCAAAGCCATTAACTTCAGTCTAGTCATGAGCAGATATCATACATAACAGAATCGAGGGACATTCTACAAAATATCTGACCAGCACTCTTCATAAGTGTTAAGGTCATGGATGACTAGGAAAGACTAAGGAGCACAGATCAGAAGATATTGAGGAGACATGTTAACTAAATACAAAATGATGTCCTGGACTAGATCCTTGAACAGAAAAGGAAAAAAAAAAAAAAGCCATCTGTGGGAAAACTGGGAAATAGCAAATAAAATATATAGTTTAGCTTAACAATATGTACCAAAGTTAATGTCTTAGTTTTAATAATTATACCATGGTTATGTAAGATTTACATAGGGAAAACTAGGGGAAGGGTACATGGGAACTCTCGCTACTATCTTTATAACTCTTCTGTAAAATTATTTCAAAATAAAAGAGTTTTATTTGTTTTTTAAAGGGAACCCCACCTAGACATAATTTGGAAAGAAATTCAAACCTGAAAAATAAACAGTACCATCAGCACCTAAGTAAAGTCTCTCTCAAAAGTGCAAACATCAGGTTGGTCTCACACTCCTCCATAATAACAAATACTAATAGATGAAGTAATATGTATAGAGCCCTGCAGAATAAAAGTTGAAGCCAAAAACTCCATATTCAGATGAGTTGTCATTCACATTAAGAACTCCCTCCCAGGAGCGCACCCATGCCTTCCTGACCTCTCAGCTATGCATCTCCTAAACTCTAAGGGTCCCCGCGAGAATTGCAACCAGGGGAGCAATAGGCGGCAGCAGCTGTCTAGGGCTAAACCCCTGAACCTGTCTCACAGGCTCCCTTTTCTATGACTTTTCAGTGAGCCAATAGCAACCCCATCTTGGCTCACTTCTGTCACTGGAACTTTTCTCAGAAAGCCAAGGCAGCCCCACCTAGGCTCTCTCCTGTTGCTTCTTCTACCCTAAGCCCTTCCTTGTTTCACTGCCCCCAGCTTTAATAAACACATTCTCAAAATAAAACTAAAAAAAAAACACTTGAAATATATTCAGGTATAAAAAGTCTCAAAATATTTAGTACCACAATAGCTTTCCTTAAGGTACCACAAATTAATAGCAAAAACTTGAGTGGCAATGAGCTTAAACTGATTAAATGTGTAGTTAAAAGTACTTAAGTTTTAAAATTTGTTTATAAAACTAATTACCAAATGTTTTTTTCTTCTTTAAAGAGATGAACTATATAATGTTAAAGAACATGAATGAATGACAGGGTTTTAAATATATGATTAAATGAGCCAAATTGAGGAGGAACGGTGACAAAAATAAACCCTTTATTTCCCTTAAAGGGATTATGATAACTTAATTCAAGTTTAATAATATCTTTGAAAAGATAAGTTAAAGAAGTGAAAAGCAAATCCTCTAGAGATGAAATTAGAACTGGAATAGCAAAAAAAAAAAAACCCACATTAAAATGACAGATACAAAACTGAACATCACCTATAACAAATATAATGGCTTAAACTTTCTTTTTTAAGGACAAAGCATAAGGCTGGGACAGAATGCAGCAAAATGTCCACTAGATATCAAGATTATGAATTACTTTTGCTGTCTTCTTTACACTTTTTGGGGCGTTCTAAATTTTCTAGAATATCAAGTATCACTATTTATGTAATAAAAAATTTGGCACTGCCCGAAGAAAAGGTCTGGCCTTTGACTTCAGCTTCTGGGAGGTAATCTCCAGACTCTTGGAATATTATAGCTAATAAGAGTTCTTTGTCTTGGGCCTTAGATCATACTGGATAGCCTCAACAATGTGACTTAGTATAGGGGCTTGGGGTCATACAATATCACTCAGCCTGGAAGCTGAGATGAGCTACATGGGCAATTAATCCTTCAATCATGCCTGTGTAATAGAGCCCCAATAAAATCTCCAGACACTGAAGTTCAGCTGAGCTTCCCTGGTTGACAACATTCTGTGCATACTGTCACATACGGCCACATTAAGACAACAATGGAAGTTCTGTATCTGATATTTCTCCTGAAATCTGCCCCATCTGCTTCTTCCCTTAGCCAATTTTACTCTGTACCCTTTTCCTGTAATTAACAGTAACTGTGAATATGACAGCTTTCGGTAAGTTCTGTGAGTACTTCTAGAAAATAACTGAATCTGAGGGTGATCTTGGGACCCCTGACTTGAAATTAGTGTTAGGAGTGAGTGCAGTCTTATAGGCTATTCCCTCTAATTTTGTAGTTGGATAATCCTTGCAATTAGCCAACCTCTTTCCACCTTTATAAAGAGAATAAAAACGGGGTTATAGCACAGTTATTCAAATCAAATAATAGGCAATCTTGGTGGCTAGTCATCAGAAGAATAAACCAACGCCTCTCAACCAGAAGTCTAGGCTTACTTCATAGGTGATAGTATTCAAGTTCTGTTGCCCAGAACTGTGTTTATTCTTTCCACTCTCTTTACGCTGTTCTTTCAGATCAGTTAGTAACTGGAACACCTAGGAAAAGATATATAAAAGATTCTTATAGAGAAGTTTGAGAAATATATCTATTACAAGGTCAGTGATTTTGAAGATAAATAAAATAGTACCCCCCAACTCTTTCATTAGAGCAAATAGAAATCCAAGTAGTATGTGACATTTTAAAAATGCTCTTTTATCTAAGTCAAATAATTCAAATTCATTAGTTTACTTAAAATATTTCAAATGTTTCCTACCAATATATACCATATCTCTGATCATCTTTGATCTCAAAAATATTCTAAGTATTTAAAAGTATATTTTTCTAGCCCAGCCGGGTGTGACTCAGCGGTTGAGCATCGACCTAGGATCCAGGAGATTGGAGTTCGATTCCGGGTCAGGGGCACATGCCCGGGTTGCGGGCTGCAGCCGATCAATGACTTTCTCATCATTGATGTTTCTACCTCTCTCTCTTCCTCTCCCTTCCTCTCTCTGAAATCAATAAAGATATCTTAAAAAAAAAAAAGTATATTTTTCTAAAATAAGTAATTTTTTAATCCTCACCTGAGGATATTTTTTCCATTGCTTTTCAGAGAGAATGGAAGGGAAAGAGAGAGAGAGAGGGAAGAGAGGGGAACATCGATGTGAGAGAGATACATCAACTGGTTGTCTCCCGCACATGCCCTGACTGGGGCCAGGGGTTGACCCTGCAATGAAGGTATGTGCGCCCTTGGCTGGAATCAAACCCAGGACCCTTCAATCCGCAAGCCAACACAATCACTACTGAGCCAAACCGGCTAGGACTAAAATAAATAATTTTTATTAAAAAATAGATTCTACTGCTCCAATATGAAAATCTAGTAAAATTTATTTTGGGAAAGAGAAATTATGAGACAAGTGCTAAAATACAGTTTACCAAAAAGGAGAAACATGTATTAATGTTATGGAGGATGTGGGGAGTATATCTCTTTGCTGTTTTAAAGATTATACCAGAAAATTGAGGGAAATATAGATTCACAGATCATTACTAGATATAAGGCAACTCCTCGCCTGCCTGTTATTTTCAGAAATAGTGGCATGAGACTCAATTAATGCAATCAATGTTTTTCCAGTGGATAAAACACCCAAACATTTAGCAAACTCCAAACTGGACAAGGAGGTTCCTAAAATCCAATGGCTTGACCAGCAACCATTTCTTCTGCAGAGACAGATATGGTCAACTGTATTAATTCTACTACCTTCTATATATATTACACATTGGAGACCCAAATCTCTTACAGGTCTTTATGAGTTTAGACTCTAGCATATGAAAAACTGACAATGAATATATGAGTAGTTCTTTCTACACCTGAAATTAACCTATCAGATAGCTTTGCTAGTACCAAAGAAGATCCAGGCAAAATGGAAGGTAGGCAAAAATAATGCTGTATCTCCCCTCTCACCAACCTCTTTTCCTTCTTTCCTCCCTTTCCCCAAAGACCCAACCCTCAGGCCCCCAAATCCCCAATCTGTTAGTTTTTACTAAATTATTCATAATGGTGAGTTAACTAAGCTCTCACTTTCAAAATGAAGATTTTAATATTTATGAGACTATTATGAGGATATCAAAATAATGACATAAAAGTATCTTATAGGTAAAGAATGATAATTAAGAAAAGGCATATATATTTTAATAAAAACTTCTGCTGATAGAAACAGTTCCAAAATAGACACTTCCATCCCTCATGAAGGCATCCCAAATGAAAATCTAAAATTTTCAGATTTGCCCGGCCAGGCATGGCTCAGCGGTTGAGCATCGACCTATGATCCAGGAGATGGGGGTTCAATTCCTGGTTGGGGCACATAGCAGGGTTGTGGGCTTGATTCCCAGCGGGGGTCATGCAGGAGGCAGCTGATCAATGACTCTCATCATTGATGTTTCTATCTCTCTCTCCCTCTCCTTTCCTCTCTCTGAAATTAACAGAGACATATTTTTAAAAAAAAATAAGTAAAATAAAATTTTCAGATTTGGGAAAGGTTGCCTACTGTACACTAAAGTCTTTCCAGCTTTCCTGAATTACTGTAATTTACCAAGCTTAGACTATCTCAAGGTCCACCAGATGGTGCCATCTGTTCTATTTTAAAATGGAAAATTCAAATCAATTCAGTCATTTCTAACCACAACTAATTCAATAATCTTCAAAAGCAAAGAACAAACTATCAGAGAGGAAAATACTTCAAAGCTATTTACCTCATAGTTACTGAGAAGTGCAGAATTGGCATCCTTCCTGCAAAAGAAAAGTAAATTATCATAGTCTGGGTTTGTATCCTTTTGTATGAATTAAATATCTGTGCAATAATTCCTCTGTCAAAATTCAGTAAGTCCAGTTCAGGAATTTAGGGACTACAATCTTTAGGAGATATGTCCTAAGTCCTACTGGTTTATCTGGTAATGGACAATTTCAGAACATATCTTCCTTTTTACAGTCATAGTATATCACCCATCCATCACCAAATAGGTGAGTAAAATACTCTACTTATCCCTAATCTATGTAGGTAGAAGTTAAGAGAAGTCAGACATCAGAGGAAAGTTACAGGAAGAACACCGGGGTGGGGGATCAATAAACAGTATGAGAGTGCCAGAATTATCCGAGAAACAGTGCTGTCTCATCCCACAGCCATGACCTCTTCCCAGTACTATCTGCCTTCCATCAGCTATTGACATCTTGGGCAGCCAAGTCCTCCTGCTGAATCACCAGAAATGGGATCCTTAACACTAGCTTCACCACTGGGAATTACAGCAATGTCAGAAATCTTGCCAGATACCCACAAAACTATGACAATGATGTTCACCTTCTATATCAGTTCAACAGGTACAGTTCATGTACCAAGCTGTGGAGAAAAGACTGACACCCCTGTGTAACAGTCAATCAACACAAAATGTCATCTTTTATTTATGAATGAGCACAGCAATGTGACTTGCATTAAATTGTAATTGATCCATTCTATAATATCAGAAAGTATTTATTGTTTTCAATAGTCTGAAGGAAGTCTAGTATAATAATTATAAGCACAGTTTTGAAATCAGACAAATATCTGGGTTCACATTATGACCCAGCTACTTATAACGTATATGAGTTTTAATGAGTTAATTAACCCCTCTAAGCTTCCTTATCTAAAACAAACAAACAAACAAAAAATGGGGCTAAACTGGTACCTAGAAGTGTAGCCTGGATTCTAAACCCAGTTCCACTGTACATTAACTATGCAATTTAGGCAAGTTATTGAGCCTCTCTGTGCTTAAATTTCCTCATTTATAAAATAGCAATTATAGCCCTAGCTGTTTTGGCTCAGTGGTTAGAGCGTCAGCCTGCGGACTGAAGGGTCCTGGATTTGATTCCGGCCAACGATATGTACCTCAGTTGTAGGCTCCAACCCACAGGTGGGAGGCAACCAACTGATGTGTCTCCCTCACATCAATATTTCTCCCCCATCCCCAACCCCTCTCTGAAAAGCAATGAAAAAAATATACTCGGGTGAGGATTAAAAAAAAAAAAAGGCAATTATAGTACCAATATCATATCCTGTTTATAGGATTAAATTGAAATACGTAAAGCACCTGGAACACAGGCACTTTATGCCATCTATTATCACTGCTACCTGTGCTACTATCACTACCACAACTTCTTCCTACCCCATAAAGCTGTTATAAGGATGAAAAGAGACAACAAATTTTTAAAGTATAGCATAGCTCTGGAACTTATTAAGACCTCCCTAAATGGAGGCTATTATTTTTAAAAGATATCATCTCACTTAATTCTCACTAAAAATCTTGTAATGTAGGAGCTATTATTTCTTCTTTATAGATTAAACTGAGGCTCGAAGATTTTAAAACTTGCTTAAGGTCACACAGTAATAAGCCTAACTGAAGTGGACAATAACTATGGAACTGTGAAAAGTAAGGCTGGACTGGACAAATGGAAATTGGTAATGGAGAATCCTAACTCAGGAAGGAGTTTGGACTTGACATAATGTGCAACAAAAACTATTGCATGTTCTTAAACCAGGAGTGAAGCTATATGATGAAAAAGATACAAAATTTCAAATTCATGGGTCAAACAGATGGGTGATTTCCCCAGTCAATAAATAAAGCAAAACTAGTAGGTGGTTAACAAAAGGATACGACCTAGGCCTTCGTCATCAGCACAGTGATGTCAGCACTGTAATCAAATGAGCATGTGAAGCTTACCAAATGCTACCAGTCATTCAACAAATATTCAGGATTTCACAAAAGTGCTGCTTTGCCCAAATAACCACAACTGCACTCGAGTCATATAGAACATCATATTTAAAAGGAACTGACCATAGGAAGGACAATACATAATTAGTGTATGTGATATGGCTCATTTAAAATTGAAAATGACAAATCAAATCATGTCATCTTTGCCTAATTAATCAGGAAGCCAACCCACATAGCTTCCTCCTATCTTTGCTTGAAATTGAGTTACTACTCCCTGTGTGCAATAAAATACACAGCAACTAAGACACTGCCTGGAACAAACCAGGCTGAGGAAAAATACAAATGTTATTTTTCCTCAAGGCTAATGGAGCCATCGCAGGTACCACTGTTACAACTTCATTTCCAAATCATGGCCCCTCCCAGAAGAGTCCATGCCCTGGGAAATCTGTCCCTGGCTCTTCCAAGTTATTGCCTCATTGCCCAAGTCAATATTGTTAATGCAAGAACCCAAAGAACATCATCGGCCTGTTCTAAAGCCAATATCCAAAGGAGGGAAACTCTCTCTCATGTTTATTTTAATGAACCTCTGTTTTGGTACCAGTAGCACAATGGATGCTTAAACAGGTATTGTATCCTGCAAACTAGTTGGAAGAAGCTGATTTACTCACTGATTCCTTCATTAGTAAGATTTTTTAAACTTTTTAATTTTTTTTAAAGGCATAAAATTTCCTTTATAGACAACTTGCCATTCATCCATCACGTAAAGTCAAATGCACCCATACTTAAATTAAGTATGATTCTTTTGAGGAAAAAGAGCCAGATCAACAACATCTTTAAGGAAAAGCATGCATACTAGACTATGAAGGCTACTGAGGACAAAGGCCATTATTTTACATATTTTTTAATTCCCCAGTTCCTGGTGGGGTTCTCAGAATATAGTTTCCAGCTGAGGAGTAGCAAATTGATTTATTGGTTAAATTAGCAACTATGGAGTTATATATGTCAGTTATACTGAGAACAGTATAAAATAAGTGGATAATTCACCAGAAACTGGCTTCTAGATTTAATTTTAATGACCCTAAAACAACATTATTTAGTACCAAATACTTAAACACCCATTATAATTAACCTATGAAATCTGTATTATTTATATCTGATCAGCTATACAAAACTCATCAATTTTTTTTTAAAAAGGCAGTAGAGCCCGGCCGGGCGACGCTCAGCGGTTGAGCATCGACCTAGGATCCAGGAGATGGGGGTTCAATTCCTGGTCAGGGCACGTGCTGGGGTTGTGGGCTTCATCCCTAGTCGGGGGCGTGAAGGGGGCGGCCGATCAATGACTCTCTCATCATTGATGTTTCTATCTCTGTCTCTCCCTCTCCTTTCCTCAATCTGAAATCAATAATTAAAAAAAAAAAAGGCAGTAGAAATCACAAAGAATAAGGGAGAGACCACTAATTAAAGATCACATTTACTAATCTAGCACCATAATTCCGGTTTTAGGCCCTCCCAAGCAGCTGGAAGGAGGAAGGGAGGAGGTGAGGATGTTGGAAAAGTAAGGACAGTTCTTAACTTGTGGCCCCATTTGGGCTCTAAGCAATGCAGGGTCTGGCAAAGGCTGAGGCAGAGGAGACAAGACAGAAGTTTTTGGTTCAGATGTAATGGAGGCCCTGGAGAAGAGTAGAGTCAGGATTTCCTGGAGGCAGTGCTGGAACTGGCCTCATGAACTAGGTGGTTTCTTCTTGGCATTCAAGTCCTTTTTAATTTCTTCAAGTTTTTAAGCCAAGTTTGGTATGTCATAATTCTGAGCCAGAAACATTCCAACCAAGTTGCCAAAAGTAAATCCAAGCTAATTTCTAATTTCATAAATTCGAACTGGCATCTGATTTTTTTTCATCATTTTATTTCATCAGTGTTATTCCTATTCAACACACAACCGAGGTTAACCAGGAACTGGAGCATGATGTCAGCAAAGCAGTAAGATAATTTTTTTAAATTCAGCTAATAGAGTAAATAAATATCAATATACGTTAGGCCTTCCTTATTCAATAAATTTTCAATGAGTGTATAATATCTACCTTTTATAAAGTCCTAAATGAACTATGTACTGGGAAAATTTTTTAAGGCAGTTTTATCCTGAAAAAGTTATTGTAACCACCAAGTGACAGGTTGTTGGGAAGAGGGTATAGTGAGATTTGACAAACATCAACTTTATCAAGTTATCCTATTTAACAGCACCAATAATGATGATGTGATGCACTGAGAAAGACACATCCCTTATAGCAATCCTGTCAAAAAATGTTTAAGTTGAATATAGCCATGAAGATATAATTAGAAAAATCCAATTTGAGGAATAGACTTCAAAACAACTGGCCTAAATCCTTCAAATATCAATGTCATTTGTCACAATGCCAATGTCACACACACAGAAAGGCTAGGAAATTATTTTTTGAGTAAAGGAGATTAAAGAAACATGACAACTAAACGCAGTGTGTGATTCTTGACTGGATCATGAATTGGTAAAAACAAACAAACATTATTGGGACAACTGGAAAAATGTGAACATAGATTGTATTTTAATAATTGTAAGACTGGGTAAAATGACCAAGACATCAATAACTCTCAAATGGTTAAGAATTTAAGTGTGTGACTGGGGGGGGG